GTGACACCCAATTCAGTTGTAGTACATCTGCTGTCTAGTCAGCACAGAGGAAGCTATGATCACACCTATTCAGTGTAATCACAGTGGCACCTCCTCTTTTTCAAGGTGATCAGGACCAGGTGTTAGGCACAATGGCAACAACACCCCACCCACACCAGCACTTGTCCCACACAAAAGGTTGATATAGTCCTCTGTGTGAGCTCACAGCCCTACAGTGATCCACCTCAGGTTAACAGGGATCTCTTAGCCTCTGGTGCCACACTGAATGTTCCAAGATTCACCTGTACATCACACACTATGGTGCAATCACAGAACCAAAATGCCAATCTCACTGATCAGAGATAGAAATAGTGGAAAAGACTGGACTGGGGAACCTAAGATATTTTGATACTCCACTGATGTCCTCTAAGAAGGATACTGAAGCTCAGGTTAAACATATGATCATTAACAGATTCATTATCTTAACAGTCTTGCTTTGCTTTTTTAAAGTAGATATTTGTTGATTTTTAATGTGACCATTTAAATTTCCCTTTGGTTGGCTTACTTTTCCTGTCAATTAACCTTTTTTTAAAATTCATCACTGTTTCTCTTTCCCTAATCTTTGCTTCTATCTAAATTCAGAGAGATAAACCACACATCTGTCACACAGAATTTTTCTACCAATAATATGTGTAAAGCATTACATATACCTTCCAATACACAGGCCAATAAATTAGTTAGGGTGATATATTTTTGACATGTCTTTGTTGTATTGGGATAGTCAATATTTAAAAGCACTTCATTCATTGTTATTGCTATTGGGCATTCCTGACGAAGTTTTAAAACCTTTACCAACTGAGCTCACAGCACAGAAAGAAAACAAAGGTATCAAAACACAAAATGCACAAAAAAAGGAAAGAAAAAGCATTAAATTTTCACTTAAAGAGCATGCCTTTTCTATGTTGAAACAACTCACTAGCAGATGTCAAATATAAACCACATTATATAATAAAAGTGACACACTTTATTACTTCTTCTGCAAGAAACTGTAATTACACTGAAAACTTGAAGGTAATGTAGAACAGTTGTAGCATGTGCTGCTACATTAATCATCTGCAGGGACAGAACTTTGTCTAGGCAAGAGTCAATTTCATCATTCACCACTGAGGGGAGCTATAAGCTAGGAAAAGCTATCCACAATATTACACATTTCTTTTTAAATTTCCGACATAATACTCATTTTATCAAATTGATTTAAAAAGCATGCATCAATTTTAAAGAGCTTAGAATGAATAATAAGCTCCATGATACCTACAGAATCAACAATATGTAAAATTTTACCCTCTTATTTTTCTCTCTAATAATCTACATACCACATATTTTGTATATTATACTTACATTACATACAATGAGTAGCATATATTCTATACATATTTATGCTATACAATTTACATTTCAAAATTTGCATTTAAAAAATCTTGCTTATTTGAGAAATAGAAACAGTAAATTTGCTAGCTCACTCCTCAGAATGTCTGCAATTGTGGAGTGGGGTGGAGGAAATAACCCTCACCATGTTGGGAATTCATCCCAAGTATCCCACATGGGTGACAGGAATTTTCCAGAATCAGCATTTGTGGGCAGCTAGAAATCAAACCAGGTGTCCCACAGAGACCCTAATCAGCATCAGAAACCTCTATATCAAACATACTGCTTTCTGTTTCTTTCTCACACACATGCATGCACCTGCACACGCAGAGGACTGTAAACTCCACGGGAAGATATGCTATTTCTTGTATATATTATTTTATTTTGGTACCTAGAATAGTTCCTATCATAAAAAAAATAACATGTTTAGTGAATAAACTAATTTAGTTGAAAAGTTTAAAAATACCTCCCTCATCAGCATTGATGCCAAATAAAGGAAAATATTACCACCTGGAAAATGTAATGTCTACTTACACTGAACTTTGGTTGAAAGGAAAAAGTCTAAAAACAATTTTTTAATTCTATAGATGTGTATCTAGACAATCTCATAAAACTGGGTTATTTAATACACATTTATAGTAGAATTCTTGTTAAATTGATATAATTGGCATAGGAAGTTCAGTAACTAAAGGGAAGAAGTTTCAATACTGATAACCCCAAATTTTAATTTTATTCCATATACTAACATATTTCATTTACTGGTTTTCACTGCTGCTTTAAGTATAACTTTCCTGATTTTTCTGCTCTCTTAGATAATCTACACTTACATCGCTGGCAAATTTCAAATTTTAAATAAAATACTTAAAACATTAACAAAAATGCAACCTAAATATATAAAACCTTACATAGACATTTAGAAATTGTCACAACCTTTTATACTTAACAGCATTATTCATATCATATTTGACCATTTTTAGCAACACTTTTATCAACTCTTTCTAAAGCAGTTAACAAATCATTAAATAATCCTTTAAAGTGATTATTTCATTGATCCATGGAATCTCTCTAATTAAATTACTTAGTAACAGGTAACAACATTGAAATATCTCACAAGGGGTAAAACTAACTCACAACGCATTTATGACAGCTGAAAAATGTGTGAGAGTAGTCAATCAGCCATACCTTTTGAATTTTCAACATAGCTTATAAGTCTACTAATACAATTTGTTTTCTTTAAAATGAATTGTTTAATGCACCAGTTAACATTTCCACATTTTGTATCAGAATGCCTGGATTGAAGTTCTAGCATCTCTCCCCATTCCAAGTTCCTAGTACTAATGTACACCTTGCAAGCAGGTGGTGATGGTTCAGTTAGTCTGGTCCCCACCACCACACGCGAAGCCTGGATTGAGTTTCCACCTCTTGGTCTCACTGACCAAGTCCCTCTGGCTCTGAATATGGAACACAGAATCTTTAAGAAGCAAAAGGTGTAACACAGATTAAGAAAAAAATTTCTCAAATCTTACAGTGTTGAATACCTTCTGAGGAAATTCAAGGAAACTACATAGTAACCAAAAACTGTAAATAGTTACAAACATTTTACATCCCACACATTTACTTTCAATTCTATTTTGCATGAACTTTTTGAAGTTCCTTTATACTTTTGTCATGAGTCACAACTTAAATTTAACTAGCTCATTTTTCAATCGACCATATTAATAAAGGAAACATAATAAAGCCATGTATAATGAAACCTAAAAGGCCATCATGTAATTCTTTGATATGAGACTTAAAGCTAGTTTTGAACTCTTCAACCAATTTTAGTATGTTTGAGTTTTCTGTTTTGCTCTGATTTGTTTTTAATTTTAAAAATCTTTTTATTTGAAAGGCAGAAAAGAGAATGAAGTGGGGAGAGAAAGTGAAAAGTACATTCCATTTGCTGATTTATTCCCCAAATAACTACAGCAGCCAAAGACAAGGCAGGCTGAAGTTTGAAACAAGAAACTCAATATGGGTCTCAAACAGGGATGATAGGGACCCAAACCTTTGAGCCATCATTACTGCTTTCCAAGATGCACATTAGCTGGAACTGGAAATAGGACAGAACCTGAACCCAAGCACTCCAGTATAGGACGCAGGTGTCCCAAGTGGCTTCTCAATGCTGCACCAAATGTCCAACCTTCTGTTGTTTTAAAACTGACACGTTCAAACCTATCACTATGAAAAAGCCAAAACTGTTCATGTGTAAACTTTTCACAAAATTAAAGTGGGTTGGTATCTACTCTGTGTTTGGGGACTTGTCCCTGTTCCCAAACTTCCCAGTTCTTTGAAACTAAAACTGGTCCACTTCCCTTTTATCTCTGATGCACACAAGTATGTCAGGCACAGAAAGGACACAGTGCAAATAACGTCATAAGGCTGTTATAATCAGGTTACGAAGCTTTACTGACATGACGATGAGCAGCCATGGAAATGCTAAGATGTTGACAATACAGAAAAATACTATTCATTAAGCTTTTAATCTTCACAGCAATCCTATCATTTTATGGCTGAAAAATTTAAAAACTTGCCCACGTTCACAGAGCTCACAATTGGAAGAGCTAGAACATGAACTCAAGCATGACTCCAAAGCCCATGCTTGTAATCACTATATTTTCATTGCCTATCTTCTCTAATTGCCAATCAAGAAACATTTATTATTATTATTATTATTTTTTATTGGAAAGGCGGATATACAGAGAGGAGAGACAGAGAGGAAGATCTTCCGTCTGATGGTTCACTCCCCAAGTGAGCACAACAGCCGATACTATGCCAAGCCAAAGCCAGGAGGCTCTTCTGGGTCTCGCACGCGGGTGCAGGGTCCCAAAGCTTTGAGCTGTCCTCTACTGCTTTCCCGGGCCGCAGGCAGGGAGCTGGAAGGGAAGCGGGGCTGCCGGGATAGAACTGGTGCCCATATGGGATCCCGGGCGTGCAAGGCGAGGACCTTATCCACTGCGCCACCGCGCCGGGCCCAAGAAACATTTTTTAACACTATCACAATACTATGAGTTTCCTGGGATTCCACAATAAGCAATTTAAGATAATTAATTTATGATGGTTACATGATTGTTATAACTTTGTTACATACTTATTAATTTAAGATTATATTAAAATGATAGAGAATATTTCAAACTAGACAGTTAAGTATATATTTGCCTTAAAGTTTTTTCAAAGGTCACATGTGATTTCACTCAACAAATGCTTAAATGAGAATCTGCTATATGAAAAGCACTAAAAGTCAGATGTCAGACAGGTTTTTAAAAAATGATTAAGACATGAGCTTGCCGTCAAATCCCAAACAGAATACATACAAACAACACAAATACATACATACAAATAATTTGGTATTGAAGACTTTTATAAAATTCTTACAATCACATTTCTTACAAATATTCCTGCTATATTGCATATCATGCCATTCTTTAAAATGCTACAACCCACAAATCATTAATTTCCCTAAGGAAATACTCCTTCTGTCACCAAAATGATAGTGAATATTAAAAATGTATATACAGAGTGCAAAATGTCAAAGGTAAAGGAATTCTCTATTGACTTACATTTTCTATGACAAATGTCCACTCTTTGTCTTCAAATTCCTCTGCATGAGGATCCTGTAACAAAAACAAAATATGCAATTGAAACACACGTCAGACAGGATTAAATCCTATCAATCCAATTAAAACAAACAGCTTTGCTTTTAGCTTTTGTCAATTACTTGTAAAAGGAAGTTGTAGCTCATTCTTTGACACTTTCATAATTTCTCTACAACTTAAATCATTTACTTAAGAAATGCTCTGTTGGGCCTGGTGGCGTGGCCTAGAGGCTAAAGTCCTCGCCTTGAACACACCAGGATTCCATATGGGTGCTGGTTCTAATCCCAGCAGCCCCACTTCCCATCCAGCTCCCTACTTGTGGCCTGGGAAAGCAGTCGCCTTGGGACCCGGCACCCGTGTGGGAGACCTGAAGGAAATTCCTGGTTCCTGGCTTCGGATAGGCACAGCACCGGTCATTGTGCTCACTTGGGGAGCAAACCATCGGACAGGAGATCTTTCGGTCTCTCCTCCTCTCTGTATATCTGACTTTCCAATAAAAATAAAATAAATCTTTAAAAAAAAAGAAATGCTCTGTAATGTTTTTATTGATGCATATCACTATCTTCCATCACTGCATCTATAACAAGATAAAAAGAAACCTGATTAAACAGATAATTTAGTAAAAGAACAACTAAGATAGTAAATATTCATATAAAATCCTACCCTTGCTGGCGGGGAGGAGGAGAGAAAGTTGCTGTTTCAATCGCTCAACTGGATAATCCTCTCCTTGCAAGCACTTGGATCCTAAATAGGCACTGGTTTGTATCCTGGTTGCTCCACTTGCCATCCAGCTCCCACATAATAGCCAGGAAAACATCAGAGCATGGTCCAAAGACTTTGGATCCTGCACCCACATGGGAGACCCTGGCTCGGCTCAGCTCCAGCCATTGTGGCCATTTGGGGAGTGAACCAGCAGGTGGAAGATGTTTCTATCTGTCCTCTCTGGAAATATGCCTTTGCAATAAAAATAAGTAAATCTTAAAAAAAAAATCCTAACTTTGCTTTCACACCTGTATTTTTCAAAGACAAGGTTTTATTTGATGTGATGGTTATGTAAACACTGAAATATCAAAGCTCTGCAAGGGATTTCACAATCTATACAAAAAATAGCAAATTACCAAGGGCTGTTGATGCCTCCTCTCTCCTCTCGGAAATGGGCCAGAAACCTGACATTAAGGCAATAAATCTTACAACCAAATCCAACTGTTTCATGTTTGGTTTATTTTATATGGGGCACGCTTTTGCAAACATTTTTAGATGAACATTTCTTATGTCCTTGTTATAAAAGGAATTCCAGCAGTCCTAAATGATTCAAACATAGCTGGGGCCAGTGTTGTGGCACAGTGCATAAAGCCACTGCCTGCAACATTAACATCTCATGTGGGCACCAGTTTGAATCCCAGCTGCTCGACTTCTGACACTACTCTTTACCAATGTACCTGGGAAATCAATGTAAAATGGTCCAAATGGTTGGGCCCTTACACCCTTGAGAGAGATTCAGAAGTTCCCAGCTAGTGCTTCAGTCTGGTCCAGGCATAACCACTGCAGCTGTCTGGGGAGCAAGCCAACAGATAGAAGATCTCTGTCTTTATAATTGCCTTTCAAATAAATCTTTATAAGCACACACACACTCACAGTTGACCTTGCTTGCCTTAGAAGACACGTTAACTAATATAAACAAATACATGATGAATAAAATAAATAAAATAGAAAAATAATACATTATTTCTTATAGGAATGAATAGAAAAAACTTCATCACAGAGAAAACACCTGGGCTAGGTGGAACTATGCAGATTTTTCTAGATATTAGAATAAGTAAAGGCAAAAGGCAACAAAGTATAATACATGGAAAGATGAGAAACGGGGTAACATTATCTGTGTATTTACCTTACTCAAACTCAACTTCATGTGTTAAGAGTTGGGGAAGCAGATGAGTATGGAGAGAGTAACAGCATATCAATAGAACAGGCATATCTCAACATTTAAGACTGCCTCTAAGTGGGATGTAGCATCCAACAGTGAGAACCAGAATGGGAGAGGGCTGGTTGGGCAAGGCCACTGTTCCTGTCAGGATAGGAAGAGGATTAAGTCAGCCTGGGAGAAGGACCCACCAGTGTGTGTGAGATCTGCCACTGAGAAGAGACCCGGGGTAGCTTTGGAAACTTCTTTGTCATGGCACAGTCCCTACAGGTGAGCACAAAAACCAAGGCAAGGAGCAGCCCAAAGCAGCCCAGAGCACAATACCTGCCAGCATATGTATGGGTCAGGTCTGACGGGAGGCCAAACTGGGCCAGTTCATAACACCCATTGGAAGATCAGAGAAGCAGGATGTGGTGCAGGACAGGCCGGGTCAGGCCACAGTTCCAGCCAATCCATATTAGGGATGGAACAGAGGACTGCCTGGGCTGGGTTGTGCACCACCCAGCAGCACACAGAGGGCAGGGAGGACCAGGCCAGACTACAGCACCCACCAGCTAATCCCAAGGTGAGATGGGCAATGCCAGAATGGGCCAAAGCACACACCAGCACACATGAGACCTGGGTTGGGGGGGGGGGGGCGGAACAAGCCCCATGGGGAAGCTGTGGGGACTCCCCTGCTGTGCCACTGTTCCTGCTGCTGAGAGTTGGTACTAGTGACAGACTCGGCCAGGCAGGGTTATAATACCTGTTGGCCTGCATGTGAACTGGGTTAAGGAGAGAACCAGGCTGGGCCAACTCACAGTATCCATTGGTGCAGGCATGAGCTAGAGTAAGGGTATGCTGGTCAGGCTTTGACACAGCATCAGCTGTCAGATGCTGGCAAAGAGGCAAATTTCATCAAACTAAACTGCGGAACCACGGGGAAAGTGCAAGATCCAGCACAGGGAGCAGGTCCCGGAGGAAAATTATGGGCACCTCTCTAAAGAGCTACAACTTCCTCTGGTGAGCATAAGAACCAGGACTGGGGACAGGCCTGGCTAGAGAGACTGTGGCATCCGCTGGCATGAGTGTAAGCTGAAGGGTGGAGCTGGCTGGGTGGAGTTAGCCTTGAACACCCAATGATGTATACAAGAGCTGAAAGGGAATGGGACAGGCTTGACCAATCCACCGCACATGCTGGCAGGCACAGAAACCAGGGCTGGGAGCAGGCCCAGTTGGGGTTGTTCAGGGTAGTTCTGACTTAGCTGCAGCTCCCAATGGTGTACATGAGGGCAGAGTGTGTGATTGGCCTGGTTGGGCGGGGCCACAACATTCACTGGTTCACCTAAGAGATGAGGTTGAACATAGATCTGACCTAGCAATTGCATCTACCAATGTGTGTAGGCTGATGTGGGTGACAGATGAGCCAGACCCCATAATGATGAGCACACACAGGAGCCACGTCTGGGATCACCGCAGACAAGGTTTCTTTGAGGGTCCTCCTAACTAAACCACTGGACCCAGAACTATAACCATGGGAAGAGAGGCAGGATCTTTGGTCTGACAGTGGAGAGCATGTGTCAGAACTGGGTCTCCTCAGTGACTTAGAGTGATAGATGGCATACCCAGAGGCTCATGGAGGATTTGGTATTTCATCGGAGCAGCAGAGGACATCTGGTACAACAGCAGAGGAAAGAGGGCAGAACAAAACTACACCAGCCAAGGGCTGACAACAAACATCGGTGCAGAGGCTCTAAAGCGGACTATGTTGACTAATGGACTTTTTGGGGGGCAGAAAATGGATTTCCTCATCCTTGGATCAGTGAGATCAACAGCATTTTAGAACTATGGAAACCACTTGAACAAAACCCTGAGAACATGCTCCACATCGGGGACCCTGGGATGATACTAGGTGGCCCTGGTTACTAAGGTGGTTGGGAGGCTGTGGCTTCTCCCTTATCTCTCCCCTTCCCCCAGATAGAGGAAGAAGAAAAAGAAAATGTGAAAATAATGGTCTTACCCACTTTCCCCCAGTCCTCAACCCTTCCCACCCTAATCAACTACATGAACATCATCAAAAATAAAATAAAAGCAAGAAAGACAAAACACTGGCTTGGCAAAACAAAACAAAACAGAACAGAACAAGATTGGCTTTGATATTCCATTACCTATGTATGACTGATTCCACTTTATCATTAATCCTCTATTTTCTGTTTTAAGAGCAGAGTTTGTGTCTTTTAAGATAAGCTAAATGTGCCATTCTTTCTCTCTCTCTCTCTTCTCCATTCTGTCTTGTCTACAGATTCATTTCCAAAAATCAGAGTCCAACCATGTTAGTACCAACTCAGACTTAATGACACCTAGAGTTTATGAAGATAAACTTCAAATTTCTTAGTTGTTTTATTATTTCTATTTACTTCTCTTTTACTGTATATTACCATGATGAATACCTGAGTCAAGCTGTAGCAAGACAACTATTTTTATTAATTTGAGACACAGAAAGAGTAAGACCTATAGAGACAATGAGCACCCCATTCATTAGTTCACTTTCCAAAAGTCTAAAACAGCTGAATATGAAAAGTAAAAACTTAATCCAGTTCTCCAATGTGGGAGGCAAAACCCAACTACTTGTGCCAGCATCACTGCCTACTTGGCACACTCAACAGAAAGCTGAGTCAGAATTCAGATCAGGAATCGAATCTCCTAGGTAATTTGGATGTAGGACACATGCATTTTTTTTTCAGATTTTTTTCTTTTTATTTGAAAGGCAGAGTTAGAGAACATAGACAGAGAGAGGTCTTCCATCTGCTGATTCACTCCCCAAATGGATGCCCTAGCCAGAGCTGAGCTGATGTGAAGCCAGGCACTTCTTCCAGGTCTCCCATGTGGGTACAAGGGCCCTAATACTTGATCATTGTCTGCTGCTTCCTCAGTTCATAAGCAGGGAGCTGTATTGGAAGTGAAAGAGATAGAATTTGAACTGGTGCCCATATGGGATGCTGATGCCTTAAGTGGAAGCTTAGCCTACTATGCCAAGGCACCAGCCCTGACACAGGCATTCTATAACCATAAGATTAACTATAAGGCCAAAACTTAGACCAATACAGGTATTTTTGTGAGTAAATTCAAATAGGTGGGATAAAAATCTGTAAACTCATTTTTGGGGTGACTGAGAGAAGGTAAGAAATGAAATGCAAAGGGAAGTAGAAAACTCCTTAATATCTGTTTCCCTATTCCACTGGTTCCATTTATGACCTAGGTTCATGGTAAGAAAAAACTGTGAAACTTCTGAAGAGCTTTTTTCATGATAGATTTAGGTATCAAAAAATAAAGTAAAATGCAAAACTGAGAAAAGAAATAGTATACCATCCTCCCTCCTTACCTCTCTTGCCTCTTTTTGTTAAGGACTACAATATAGCTCCAGAACATTCAGTATCAAAATAATTAAAGCAAAGCTTTTACTGAGTGCTCACCACATGTGCCCAGTTATTGTGGTGAGCTACACTCATCACAGGAACTTAGGACACAGGCATCATTTTTATTCTCAGTTAACAGACCTGAACTCTAACGTCCCACAGTGCCCTACTATTAGGAATTAACACTGTCTTTTACCTACTTTATTGTTTCAGTTTAAACCCCTTTATCCTCAAGACCTAGAAAAATATCCATGTCATTATAGGCTCTCAAGAATATTTGATGCATGTATATATCACATAAATTAAATATCCAACAGTGCCTTATAGGTAATATAACATACTTATTAAAAAAATTTTTATTTGAAAGTCAGAGTTAAGACAGAAGAAGAGGCAGAGATCTTCCATCTACTGGGACACTCCCCAAACGACTCAATGGCCGGAGATGGGCCAGTCCCAAGCCAGGAGCCAGGAGTTTCTTCTAGGTTTCTGACATGGCAGGGTCCCGAGCATTTGGGCCACTTCCTAGGTGCTAAGCAGAGAGCTGCATCAACCCAGTACCCATATGGCATGCTGGCCCCACAAGTAGAGGCTTAACATGATACACCACAGCACTGGCCCCTGTATTTTAATTCTTAAAGCAGAAGAATTTTTTTTTTAAATTTAAAAGACAGAATTACAGAGAGACAGACAGAAAGATATCATAACTGCTGGTTTATTCTACAATGGCTGCAAAAGCCAGGGCTGGGACAGGCTAAAACCAGGAGACTTGAACACCAACCAAGTCTCCTACACTGGTTTCCAATTTCCAATTTCACTGGTTGGTGATGGAGCAAATGGTAGGATCTCTATCAATGCTATGATAAAACCTATATTGGACTTCCGACTCTCAGCTTTGGCCTGACACAGTCCTGCCCACTGCAAATGGCTGGAGAGCAAGCAAGTGGATAAAAGCTTTCTATGTCTCCACATCTCAAATTAAAAACAAAATAACATGCACAACAAGACATTGTCACATGATTATTTATATTACTGACCAGATAAAAACATTTTCAATGAGAATTGCTTCTAGCAATTTTCTTCCCTTCAGCTCACTATCTACCTCCTCATTACTGCTCTAAAGCAAAAAGAAAATGCTCAAACAGCCACTGTCTTTCTCAAAATTGAAAAAGGATTTTTCTTAAAAAAGAAAATCACTGAAGACAGCACTCTTCAATTTAACTGAAATGAAACAAACATGTAGGCAGAAGAAATTAATTCCTAGCTAAATCACAGAAAAATGAATATATTGATAACATCCCCCCAAAAAGATTCACTGTGAGTACAACACTATGGACAAAATGAATTCTAAGCAGTTCTTTCGAATCTACAAATCTCAAGACAAGAGAAGAATCGGGCCCGGCAGCATGGCCTAGCGGCTAAAGTCCTCGCCTTGAATGTGCCAGGCAGAAGAAGCTCCTGGCTCCTGGCTTCGGATCGGCATAGCACAGGCCATTGCGCTCACTTGGGGAGTGAATCATCGGACGGAAGATCCTCCTCTCTGTCTCTCCTCCTCTCTGTATGTATCTGACTTTCCAATAAATAAATAAATCTTAAAAAAAAAAAAAGAGATAAGGGAAGAATCAAGAAGACTGTCAGTTGAATAGACTTAGATATTGAAAAGAGTCACAAGGTTGCACAATACTACAGCAAGCAGAAGGCAGGGCTTGGATTGCTTTCTACATACTGATAGAGTCATAAGAGTTCAGTGACGAGGATATGCTGGACATTCTCATCAGTACTTGAAAATTGCATTTATACGCCAGTCCTCCAAGTAACACATCTCAACAGGCACTTTCAACTCGAGACCTCATTCAGCACACAGCCTTTCCCCAAACACTTGGCACTCAGCTACTTACCAGCTCTGTTCTCTTCTCTCATTCTTCATGACTGCCTTTTCCAGAGCTTGTATTAACTATGTCCATTCATTTGCTTTCTCAATATGAATAAGCCAAATGAAAACACTAAAAAACTCAGGTAAATCTTCTTCAAGTATGTTAGATATTTTACTGTTGTGATTAGCATTTGTGGCCCTTTTTAAAAAATGTTTATCATTTTTTTATCTGAAAAGCAGGTTTGGGGCCTGGCAAAGTAGCCTAGCGGCTTAAGTCCTCAGCTTGAATGTGCTGGGATCCCATCTGAGCACTGGTTTTAATCCCGGCAGCTCCACTTTCCATCCAGCTCCCTGCTTGTGGCCTGGGAAAGCAGTAGAGGATGGCCCACAGCCTTGGGACCCTGCACCCTTGTGGGAGACCTGGAAGAGCTCCTGGCTCCTGGCTTCGGATCGGCTCAGCACCAGTCATTGAGGCCACTTGTGGAGTTAATCATCAGATGGAAGATCTTCCTCTCTGTCTCTCCTCTTCTCTGTATATTTGACTTTTCAATAAAAATAAAATAAATCTTTAAGAAAAAAAGAAAAAAAAGGCAGATTTTACAGAGAAAGAGGACAGAGAGATATTTTCCATCTGCTGGTGACCGCAGCAGCCAGAGTTAAACTGATGCAAAGCTAGGATCCAGGAGCTTTCTCTGTGGTTGCTGGGGCCCCATGTGGGTGCAGAGGCACATGGACTTGAGCCATCTCTGCTGCTTTCCCAGGCCATAGGCAGGGAGCTGGATCTGAAGCAGAGCATCTGGGACATGAACCAGCACCTATATAGCATGGCAATATCACAGGCAACTATTAGTTTACTATGCCACTATGCTAACCCCTGTAATCCTTTTTTTTTTTTAAAGATTTATTTATTTTTATTACAAAGTCAGATATACAGCGGCGAGGAAAGACAGGGAGATCTTCCATGTGATGATTCACTCCCCAAGTGGCTACAATGGCTGGAGCTGAACCAATCTGAAGCCAGGAACCAGGAGCCTCTTCTGGGTCTCCCACATGAGTGCAGGTCCCAAAGCATTGAGCTGTCCTCGACTGCTTTCCCAGGCCACAAGCAGGGAGCTGGATGGGAAGTGGAGCTGCTGGGATTAGAACCGGCACCCATATGAGATCCTGGTGCGTTCAAAGCAAGGACTTTAGTCACCAGGCCACTGTGCTGGGCCCAGCCTATAATCCTTTTTATTGCATAGTAGGCAGTACAAGGTATGGGAAAGAGCAGGACTACATTATAGCATATTAAGGCAAGTTATCTTTGTAGTCTCTGTTTCCTTATCACTAAAATAGTACTAATTGTAGAGCATTAGTTACTGTAAGAATAATATTAAATAATACATGTATAGATTCATCTGACTCCAAATGTATTGTTCTTAACAGCCAAGCTTAATGCATCGCTCTGGTAGAAGAAATAAGGAGAAAGGAAGTTAACAGTGGACTTTGGGGGTAACTACTGAAGGTTAATAGGGTGGTTCTGATCCTCCTGACAAAAAGGAAGGGCGGTACCTGTCTCATTCCCGAATGGGCAAATGAAGCATGTTATAAATATGACAAGTACAATCAAATATGTTATAACATCAATGACAGTAATGGCAAAATTACAAAACATGACTAAGCAACAAATTCTAAAAGTTACCAAAATGGAACGTACCTTAAAAAGTGTTACAGTGATTTCAATGTTTTCAGGAACAGGCCATACGACAACACCACGGTATGGATTTTTTATTCCAGGTTGCCAGCTATGAGCCTAACAGAATAAACATGAGAGGTTCAGTATGAGGTATAGGAAAAGCAATGTTAATAGTTCACAAAAGCATATAGACCCCACCTACCCATTAATCTTTATTCTTCCTCAAATGAAGGTGTTTAATTTAAAAAAAAAAAAAGAAACTCATCAAGAATTAAGCTTGGATCATTACAGTCACACACATGTGCAAAAGTCAGGTGTTTGGTTTTTTTTTAAAGGTTTATTATTATTTTTTTTTGAAAGTCAGATATACAGAAAGGAAGAGAGACAAACAGGAAGATCTTCCATCTGATGGTTCACTCCCCAAGTGACCACAAAGGCTGGAGCTGAGCCAATCTGAAGCCAGGAGGCGGGAGCTCTTCTGGGTATCCCAGGAGCCAAGAGCTCTTCTGGGTATCCTACGCAGCGTGCAGGGTCCCAAGGCTTTCCCAGGGTCCTCAACTGCTTTCCCAGCCACAAGCAGGGAGCTGGATGGGAAGCAGGGCTGACCGGGATCAGAACCAGTGACCATATGGGCTCCTGGTGTGTGCAAGCGAGGACTTTAACCACTATGCTATCGCACCAGGTCCCAGGTGTTTGCTTTTAAAAGTTACTAATGAGGCCAGCATGACATTGGCATCCCATATACTGAATGTTGCTGTTACAGCTTTTGCTAAGGAGGAAAATAATGTAGAGAAGAAGGATAAAGGTGGGGCAAGAGGTTAATTTCCAAACAATTAAAGAAGGCTTCACTGAGAAAACAAAACTAGACAGAGGATGTAAGAAGGTCAAGGAAACAAATATTCAAAAACATGAAAAGACTTTCAAAAGAAAAAGTGCTGGGGCACTTAGACAACAATAAAGACAGTGTGGCTGCAGCCAAATGGCCAACAGGAAAGTAGAGATGAGGCCAGAGAAACAATGGAGGATTCCATCATTATAGTCCAGTTAAACCACTGCTTACACTTTGACTAAGACAGAAAACCACTGGTATTTTAAGTAGAGAAATTTCAACCGAAGTTATAGTTCAACAGACTTAATTCATCTCAAAAACAGGATCTAAATCTAAGAGAGGAAATAGGGAAATCAATTCAGGAACTTTTGAAACAATTCAGGGGAGACCTGATGACTGGGTCTACAGTTGTAGAAAAGTGGTACCAAATGATCAGATTGTAGGCACATTCATACATTTTCTAGAAACAGTCAACAACATTGTCTGACTAGGAGAAAGAAAGCAACCAAGGCTAACTTAAAGGCTATGCCCTTGAGCAACTAACATGAATTGTTAACTAATATGTATGTGAAGTAAACTGCAGGCAAGACAGGGTTGGGAAATAAGTTTGTAAACTCTACTTTTACACATGTTAAACCTGAGTTGTTCATAAATTTTCAAGTGTGAATGTTCAAACAGTCAACATCACTGTACAGATTAACAATAGACAGGATGAGGGCATTTCACCCAAGTCCATTTAGGCAGTTTTTCTAACTTTTTAAAACATATTATAGGTCTTTTGGTATATGTAGTCTCATGTGTCTATTTCATGACTTGGATTCAAATAATATTTAATGATATTTTACAAACTATGAAAAAGAATTAGACCTAACAGAAAAATCATACAACTTTGAAAACTACAATGATAGGAGGGCCTTGTGGTACAGCAGGTTCAGCTACACAAGGAGCATCCCAAATTCACCCCATCCCCTTAAGAAGTGCTAGTTCAAGTCCTAGCTCCCTCCTAATGCACCTAGGAAGCAACAGATGACTAATCAAGTACATGAGTCCCTATCACCCATGTGCCAGACCCACGTGAAGCTCCTGGCTCCCAGGTTTGGCCTGGTCCAGTCCTGGCTGTTACAGCCATTTGTGATTTGAGGAGTGAACCAGCAGATGGGTGATCTTTCAAAACCAATCTCTCAATTTCAATCTTTGTCTCTCTCTCCCTCCCTCCCTGCCACCTTCCCTCTTGCCCTGTCTTTACAATACTCTTTTAAAAATATAATTAGAAAAATCACATTTAAAGTCAAATAAGGGTATTCTGAATTGACATATAAGCTAATGTATTTTATTATGCCTCTTTCTTTTAGAAAATAATTACTATCTAATTAAAAAGCAAAAAATCACTTACTGTTAATATCTGAAAACACCTGGACATATTTCTAAAGTTGATACATAAAATCATATTAATCTGTAATGTTTAGTGGGTAATCTTATAATTATCCTTTCCACAAAAACATAAGACCCAATCAACAGCACTGTATGGCAGAGGACTCTGTTTACTTTTATCATCCATTTTCATTAAAAAAAACTTTCACTTTAAAAAAATCCAAATCATAATGCCCTAAAAGTTTGTTTATGCGGGGGTCGGTCTTCAAAAATATCATCAAAAAGTAAGTTATAAAAAACCATGCATAGACTACAAAAGGTTTGGATTAGGATTATATGGTACCAAGGGAGATTTATCTTTTAATGTCATTTCCCACAATCTTTTTGAAGTATCCTTGCATGTTTTACAGAAGATGCTGCACATAACAGAAAGCTTTTTTATAATGCTGGAGTGAGTGCTCAGGGATTTCCATTACATTAACAATATACCTGCCCTGTTGGCCAGTATTTCATTCCCAGGTATATGCCCGAGAGAAATGGAAATACCTGTGCCTCAAAATACACAAACAACATTTTTTATAGGAATTTTATTCATAACAGTTAAGCAACTGGAAAAGAAACAAATGTTCATCAGCAAAGACACAGATAATGAAATCGTTACAGATCCATACGCTAGAATATTTTACCCAGCAGCTAAAAATAAACAAACAACCAAAAGATACAACAGCACGAATAAATCTCAAACACATTATGTTGAGCAAAGGAAGCCAGACATAAAATAGTGTTCCTATTTTAGAAGAAAATCCGTAACAAGCAAAATTAGTATATGGTGACAGGAAACTAAAACATGGAAGACTGGTTGCCTTTGAGAGCTGTGAATCAAGTAGAACAACAACAAAGGAAAAGGATGATGAAAATAGTCCATACTTCAATAAGAATGGTAATTATATAAGCAAATATACCAACTATAATCTACTAAATTGTATAATTGAGATCTGTGCCTTATTCTGTAAATTATAGCACAACAGAAATAAAACTTGAAAATTTATTAAAATTTCAAATTCAGAAAATTTTACATTTTAAAATTCAACTAAAATTAATATTTCTCGTTAGAAATTCAAAGGTCTACCTAAGGAAAAACTAATGTCTAAATAAACATGACTAAGACTATTGTATGCTTAGAAAAATGTTTAAATTTACCTACAAAACAGAATTTCCTTAGAATTGACACTGAACATTTTTTTAGTTTTAGATTTATTTATTTTTTAATGATTTATTTATTTTTATTAGACAGTCAGATATACAGAGAGAAGGTAAGACAGAGAGGAAGATTTTTCATCTGCTGATTCACTTCCCAAGCGACCACAACAGTCAGAGCTGAGCCAATCCGAAGCCAAGAGCCAGGAGCCTCTTCAGAGTCTCCCACACAGTTGCAGGGTCCCATGGCTTTGAGTCCGCCTCAACAGCTTTCCCAGGTCACAACAGGGAGCTGGACGGGAAGCAGAGTAGCCAGGATCCCAGCACATGCAAGAAGAGGACATTAGCTGCTAGGCTACCACACCAGGCCTGACACCATTTTAAAAATCTTTTTCCTCAGTTGTAGGCAACTACCTACATTGCCTTGTATTTAGGCAAGTGCTACACTGCTGGGAGAAAAGCAGCCAAAAGCTGGCAGCCACTCTGAGCCTGGTTAATGTCAAATTTGTGTTAACTAAAGCAGTATGCCAGCATTGTTGCCTATTCTATTTTTTTTTTTTTAAGATATTTGGGGTAGGATGAAAGTGCCTGGCCAAAACACACCACCCTGGCCCCAAAGCGGGGCGGGGTGGGGGCTGGACATGCCAGGGAAAGAGGGTATGGGGATGTATTGGAACAGGAGGGGTTGAGAGCAGGTTTCACAGGAAAGGAATGACTTCTGGCGCTTTCACGGACCAAACTTCTGCACTCACAGGTAGGCAGGAGAGCTGAGGTAGAATGGTTTAGAGGGAGAAACTGGAGGGCATGCCTGGGTCTGGCCAAGGCATCTGCATTCAAAAATCTGGGGCTGAATAACATGCCTAGCACCAGTCGATATGGGAGACCTGGGCTGGGCTAAATAGCATCACCTGCAGGCACCCACCAAAGATGGCACTGGGAGGAATGCCTGGCTGGGATAGGCCACAGTAATGCCCATGAGTGTCAGAGCCGGGAGCGGGCATGTCAGGCTAGGCTGCAGCACCCACAGAAACAAAAGAAAGAATTGGATCTAGGGGCAGTTTCTGTAGGGGGCTTGTGGGCTTGTCTCTATGAGACTGCAGCACTTAGCAGTTTGTGCAAAGAGCTGGAGGTGGTAACATATTGAGACAGGCTGGACCATGAAACTCACAAGACACTTAAGGGAGCCAGGACTGGGCCTGGTTGCAGCACCCTCTAGCACATGCAAATGCCAAGACTGAGGGCAGAACATGCCAGGCAGTGCCACAGCACTGCCAGCATGCATGAGTTCCAGGAGTGGGAGAAGGTCTGGTAGGGGAACTTGAGGAACTCCCCTGCTGGGTCACTGCTTCCACTGGTGAGACTGAGAGCTGGACCTGGAGGCAGGCCAGTCCAGGCACAGCTGCAGCACCCATCAGCTGGCATGTCGTCCAGGTCTAGGGGCAGACCAAGCTAAGCTAGATTGCCACACCAGCTGAATAGGTGCAGACAAACCAGGCCAGGCACCAACACCTTTTGGCAAGTGCCACAACTAGCTGCAAGTCATGTCAGGCTGGATGGTAGTATTCCTGGCAGGCACAAGATCCAGAGCTGGGAGTGGGTCTGGTGGAGGACCTATGAGCACTCCTCTGCTGGACTGCAGCTCCTGCTGATAAGCATGAGGGCCAGAGCTGGGGGCAGGCCAGACTGATCAAGAAGACAGTATGTGTCAGTATATGTGTGGGCCAGTTCTGGAGGTAGGTAGGGCTGAGCACCCAGGGGTGTACACAAGAGCCAGACAGGATGTGAGATGGACCAGGTTAGCCCACAGCATATTCCAACACACACAAAACCTGGCAACATCTCAGAACTATCAAAACCATTCAAGTGACACCTTTTGAATACTGTTCCCTAAATCGAGGTCTCTAAGGTGTCATCAAATGACTGTCCCCCATTCTCACGTGTTTATATAGTTTGACAGCAAGGAGTGGCCTCCAACTCTTCCCCTGCTATGGACACAGAAGAAAAACAAAATTTAAACATCTGTCCCATCTCCACGCCTTGACCCCCCCAAACCCTAATCGGAGACCCATATGGGCATGCATCCATCTCAACTATGTAAACAATATTAAAAATAAAATAATAAAAAATAAAAATCTGTTCCATTCTCCCATTTAGAACTATTAATAATAGTAAAAAAAAAACTTGACATCTTTAAAATCTTTAAAATTCTTGCTCTGCAACCCAGAAATGGACTCAGACAATTGCCAGTACTTAAGTATGCTCTAACTTCATTTTCTTAGATTCTGAATAAATTAATCTTAGCTTTAATTTTAGTAAATGGTGTCAATTCAATCATTAATTATAACACATTAGTACCAGGAATTTTATTATGTTACTTAAGGCTATCACTTCATCTGTGCTGTCACAAATACAACAAAATACCATAAACTGAGTAATTTAGAAAAAAAAAAAAAGAAAAGAAAAAAGGTTAATTTCCAGGAGCCTGGGAAGCAAATGGTATGGGCCTTCTTACTTGATCCTCACATTGCCTACAAGAGCAAACCATGATGAACTCCTTCTTCAGGCCATTTTACGTGGGTACCTGGTGCCATTCACCAGGGAGTAGTCCTCAAGACAAACACTTCTCAAAGGCACCCCTCCTATGAAAGTAGCAATGCTGAGGGCACATTCAAACCACAGCAATTTCCAAATCCACGATCAGAATTCAAGTATCTGGCTCTGCAATTAAGAACTGCTGTTAGATTTTAGCACCTGATCAATTAGCTTAGAGCAGGTTAATCAGGAAAAAAGAAGAACATGCGTTTTAAAATATAGTGGGAGCAGAGAAACTTAAACATACTTAAGAATTTGGCTTACAGTAGAATTTAATACCTGAGTAACAAATTTAGAAAACATACTAACCTTAGAAGACTTCCTTCGGCTTCTTCTTGTCCAAACCACCACCAGTTTATCTGGCTGCCTAACAAATAGAGAGAAAAAAAATTCACGTAACTTTTCTTAAACCAAGTTAATGCTTTTTCAAAGAACAAAATGCCATCTGCTTTAGATAAAGGGGCTACTCTGACAATAAAGTTGTATATTCAAATAAAGATATAGCAGAGGCTGAATCTGATCTAATTTAAGTAACAGTTCATTCACATGATATTCTAAAATATTTAGCAAGTTAACTGAGACAAACTAAGTTAAAAGAATATTTATGGTTGTTTTCTAGTTTACAAACATTAATGTTCCTAATACATTATGCCCTTTCATTTGGAGAAAATAATAACACATCATACATCATCTCTTCATCTTCCGCAAATGTAAAATGAGAGCAATACATTTCCAGCCTATACAACTAAGATCTCTTTTGTGCTTGTAGCAAACATCAGAACTATGACTATTAGCTATTCTACTTAAATTTCCATTTTAAAGAATCTTAGCCAAGAAATGACTCATCTTGGTAACCTTTACAGTTTTCTGTGCCCCTTTCATTTCACTTTGTAATCACTTTCATTAGATGACCTTCTGTTCTGTTTCATTTAATTAACTACACATACACATGCATGAACACATACATAAAAGATCACCAGACTTCAACTACTCAACCAATAATCCACCTAAAATCACGCACTGATATCCCAAAAACAAATATTACTGAGGAAGCAACCCAGAATATAGCACAAAGAAATAAAGGAGCAGAAATATATTCAAAGAAGATAAAAAAAATCAAAGTAGATAGTTAAGTACATATACCTTATGAGAAATTAAAAAACGCAGAAAGTGGAAATAGTGGGGGTAAAACTGAAGGCACACGGTTAAGAATATGCCAGACTCAGTGCCAGCATTGTTGCACAGCAGGTAATGCCATCTCCTCAATGCCAGCAGTCCATATGGATGTCAGTTCAAGTCTCAGCTCTTCCACTTTTGATCCAGCTCGCTGCTAATGTGCCTGGAAAGCAGTGGACTTAGGTCCCTGCACCCATGGGAGTCCATGAAGAAGCTCCTGGCTTCTGGATCCAGACTAGCCCAGTCCTAGCCACTGTGACCATTTGGGTAGTGAACCAGAAGATCAAAGACCTCTCTGTCCCTCCTTCCCTTTTTGACAAAGTCAATATTCTTCACGTGCTAAGAGAAAAAACAGCTGCCATGCTAGAGTTTTAAATCAATTAAATACGCATTTTTTAAATGCTGTAGACCAAAAGTTTACAATGTATTGATCTTAGCTATAAAACAGAAGGAGTAGGATTCAAAAAGCAACACTAATAAGATAAAATTTTATTGGTTGTTCATTTTAAGTGGTAGGACCTGTAAAGATACACAAAAGCCAAGTTTCAATAATGAAACTGTTTGACTAAGTAGCTATCTACACAAATGTACCATCTTTCTGGTGGTGGTAATAATCAAGATGGTATATCTCAACAGGAAAACAGTAGTTCTCAAGATTAAACTCAGTTTCCATCATCAGGCTTTTATACTCCTTAGACAGCTGCAACAGCCATGGCTGGCCAGGTCAAGGTCAGGAGGCAAAGAGTTTCTTCCAAGTTTCCCTTATGGGGAACCAAACACTTGGGGCCATCCTCTGCCACCTTTTCCATCAGCAGGGATCTGGGTTGGAAGAGGAGTAGCTGGAGCATGAACCGGCATCTGTATGGGATGCTGGCATTGCAAGCAGAGGCTTTTTCTGCAACACCACAACATCCACCCAAAGTGTCAGGCTTTACAGTGAATCTTTCCCAGTGAAATACTGGGAGCCAGTCTGGAGATGCAGAGCATTAAACTGCAGGTGAAAGAGATGTCAGTGTCTGCGAAATTTCAAATATCAATCTAGTAAGAAGTACTAACAGAAAAAAAAAAACCATAAACCTGAAAATGAAAAAGTCAGAAGAGCTCAGAAACAGGGAGACAACATAACAGATGGCATTGGTTTGAGTCCCAGCAGCTCCACTTCTGATCCTGCTCCTCACAAATGCACCAGGGATGATCTATGTGCTTGGGCCCATGCCACCCACTTGCGAGACACAGGTGGAATTCCTGGTTCCTAGCTTCAGTCTGACCCAGTTCCAGCCACCACAATGATCCACTGAGTCAACAGATGGAAGATATTTCTTTCCGTTTCTGTCACTCAGCCTTTCATGTAAATAAATCTTCATTTTTGTTTAAGAAATGCTATCAAATCTTGCAGCTTTTCCTTACTTACCATGCTATACTGAGTTTTTATATTGAAGTTACTACTAACTGGCCTTTTTAGGTTAAACTCTAAAGGCTTATTTGACCTAAAGATTATTCAATTTTATTTTAAACGTAAATTTTTTAAAAATTCAATTAAGTGGCTTTAAACAAAACCTCAGGTGTCCAGACTTCCAGATGATCAAAAACCACCAAATGCTTTACACTTGCCCAACTATATCCTTGAAGATGACCCACCAAAGCCCCACATGCATTTGGCCCTGGCACAGAAGGTAAGATCCACATTCTTTAATTCTTAAACACGGTTATAAGGAACTTCACTGCCTGATTCCAATCCATCTTTCTAGCCATACAACTTGCATATATCGCAAAGGCATCTTACTTTCCAGTCAATCTTCGAACACGTGCTCCTTAAATTTCCTTCCACTGTTGTATGTAAATAACCTTTTTGAAAATTCTTCCTCTTCTACCTGATGAACTCTCAGTTCGTCACTTTCTGTGTGAAATCCTGACCATCTCTCCTTTTATCTTACCCGCCTCAGTTCCCCTATCCCATGTCCCAAACCTCAGAGTTCATTTTATTCTCAACTTCCTAAGCCCATTTCTGTCTTAATACTCCTTATGCCTTGTATCATCATTACCATTACTTTAAACTTCTGCTACACTTCAGTACTTTGTCAATCATATCTTATTTGTATCTGTATTCCTAGCAGTACTCTATAAGGCTGAGGTTCAAGGCGTATTTATTACTATATAGAATGAGCATTTAATTTCACTGAGGATGTCCCTACTGCTTAATTATAATTAATGACAGCTAACTGAAGCCTGTAGCTACATAATATATCCTTTCAGCAGTTTATCTGAGCTTTTTCAGGACATCTTGGTTGCATTTTAAAACTTCCTGGGAAGCTTTGAAATGCTGATGCTGAGGTTCCAATCTTGGAGAATATGATTTAATTCATCGGGTGTGCAGAGTTTTTTACATTCCACAGACAATGTGCAGCCAAGGTTGAGAATCACTGTTTCAACAGGAAAAGTGGCAAATTATCCCCTTCCCTCCTTAACCACTAGGGAGACATCAGCTGTGATGGCAGTGGCAGTATCTCCCCTCCACAGCAGCTCCCTGCACTGTTGTCTTCTTTCAATCAACTCTCAACAACCTCTCCACTTACACCCCCTCAGTGCTTCAGAAAAAAAGAAGCTTTCTTTCCTTGAAAATGCAAGAAGGGCAGTCTCCTAATCCATATGTCCAGTGCTTCAAATATGTAAATAGAACATATATGAGAATACCTTCAGAGATGGCTAACTGTTTTGTGGATTTGAAATCATATTCACGTTTTAAATGCTTGCTGGAAATCAATCCACCTTAGCATTATCAGAAGCAGAATGAGCTAGAGCATTCTAAAAGAAAGAATTGTACTGTCTGCAGAAGGGTACCAATAACTATACATTTGCCTAATCACAATTAATATTTTAAGAACTCTTTCTCCACAAGAAAAAGCTATTAAAAATTTATATGTATTGCAACAGGAACAAGGACTGCCCAATTATGAGCAACTTTTTCTAACGACGAAAAACCTATGCTTACACAACTATCAAAAAAATAAGAAAATCTAAGAGACAGGTTTGAAAGAGAATTCAACAATCACATTCAATATTGCAATCTCTGCACCACAGTTTAGTAACAAGGTAATGTTACATATAATACACATACACAAAAACACAAAATTATATACTCACGTATTACACATAAAGATTTTGTATATATCCATTGCAGGCAACACAAACTACCAGAGTAATCTATTTAAAGGAGTCCACTGGTAAATATGAAATCTTTTGGTGGGCTTGTTCAGAAAAACAAACTTTACTTTAAAAAGAAAGATTTAACACCTTCTATCCCTCTCTCAAAGCCCTTACAAAGGAATAACTTGAGCCCAGGGTAACTGCCTAAGAGGTTAAAGTCTTCATCTTGCACGCACTGGGATCCCATATGGGTGCCGGTCATATTCCTGGTGCACCACTTCCCATCCAGCTCCCTGCCTGTGGCCTAGCAAAGCAGCTGAGGGCAGTCCAAAGCCTTGGAACCATGAGCCCATGTTGGAGACCCAGAAAAAGCTCCTGGCTTTGCATTGGCTCAGCTACAGCTATTATGGCCATTTGGGGAGTGAATCAGTGGATGGAAGATCCCTCTTTCTGTATCTATTTCTCAACATAAAGCTAACTTACCAATAAATAAATCTTGGCAAAAAAAAAAAACAGGAATAACTTAAATCTAAAGATAACAAGTGTTGCTTCAACTATGGTCCTGAGGAGGCTACCTAGCTCTTACTTTGGCCCGCAACTAAAGACTGTGTTCACTTCTTTGCCAATAAATGAAACAGTTTAAACCTAAAGACATTTTTACTTCTTCCCCTCTCACCAGAATTACATGTGAGAGCTGAAATTTAAAAATCCACTACAAGGGCCAGCACCATGGCATTGCATATTAAGCTTCTACTTGTGGCACCAGCACCTCATACAGGCAACAAATTCAAATCCCAGCTGTTTCACTTCCAATTCAGTTCTTTGCTAGTGGTTTAGGAAAACAGCAGAAGATGGCTCAACTACTTAGGCTCCTGCAGTTACATGGGAGACCCATAAGATATTCCAGGCTCCTGGCTTTAAATGAGTCCAGCTCTGGTGATTGTAGCCATGTGCGGAGTGAATGAGCAGATGGAATCTCTCTCTCTCTCTCTGCTCTAATCTCTGTCTTAACTCTTTCAAATAAAAATATTGTTTTTTAAGATTTAA